CCCTCCAAGTTTCACCATACAATCTCGGCCACAAACTCCCCGTCCCCCTTTACAACCATCACCATCAGCTCCATCCCCTCTGCAGGAGGGGACCCCACCACAAACACTCTGCCCCCCCCTCGCCCCAGCACCCCCACCACCATCGTGCACACCCAACACAACGACCAATGGCACCCACAACCCCCCAATGCTGGAAGAGCCCCCGCCCTGAAACACCCCCACCTCCCGCCCCAATCCCAGCATTACCTGAGTCACGCTCCCCCACTTCCCTCCTACCTCCTTAAACCACCAGTACTTGGCCCAGCTCTTGGCCGCAGCGTTTCCCGTTAATGCGCCGCACCTTTAGGGCTTCGGGGTACCAGACTACAATGGCTGGAAGCACCAGCCAAAAAAAAATCAAAAAGAAAATCGAAACGGTATTGGCGCTTCGGCAAAAATTGGCGCGCAGGGGCATTCCAGGCTCGGCATAGATAGCTGGGCCAAGTACTGGTGGTTTAAGATCACCTTTGCGCAGCTACAGCAAATAAACCCTGGGCAGGCAATTATGTACACAAGCAGCAGCAGGGCAAGCGTTCTATACTGCAAGCAACCTTCACAAACATTGGAAGACAAGGAGCAGATCAGGGAAGCAACGAGACACGCAGGACAGCTGAAGAGACCCAAACAGAACTGGTTTGAACTCCCTATGGTAGACCCTGGACCCGTTTTCCAGCAGGTGCTGCTCCCCACCAATAGATGGAGCCTCCCTTACAGTGCTAGTGGTGACTGCTCTTACCAGCACCCTTAGCATCCGCTCGGGTTGTTTCCCAAAAAAAAAAAAAAAAAAAAAAAGAAAGCTCTGATGTAGGTCAGAAAGGAAGAAACAAGGTTATGAAAGGAGGGGACAATTATGGGACTAGCAGCAACAGGATTGTAGTTGCTCGGAGTACCAATCAGACATATCACCAGCGGAACAACAGCATCCACAACACAGACTGAGTCTGACAAGACAAGACAAGTCTAAGGGGAGGGGACAGCAGGACACCCACGGCCTACTACTCCAGGTGATCACTGTGTACTCAGTGACTGGCCTCTAAGAAGAAGATGCCTGAAGTGCAATCGCAAACTGTATCTTGCCCCATAGTGCAATGATAACTCATTTTTGTAAAAAGAAAAAAAAAAAAAAAAGGACCACAGGGCCAGATAGTGCTCAGATATACCATCAGAAGAACCATACATGCACACTGATCAGAGCCAAACACAGAGAAGAAGGATCTAGAATAAGGGATGATCAGAGCCAAACACAGAGACGAAAGACCCGCCACAGGGCAGAGGGTGCACGTTTCAGCACCTCAGCACCGATAGGAAAGGGGGGCTGCACAAAATGGGAATTGATAGAGCCTGTCAGGTCTAAGGGGAGGGGAGAGACAAGAATTACGGCCTGCAATTCCGATAGGGGGTAGAGCCATTGTAATGAGGCTACTCCAATAAGGGTCGGGAACCCCTTCCAGCCCCAAGAGGATTTGGGATCTCCACAATATGCAGAATAAGAATCAGGCCCCACTTATCTAATCTTGTCATGTAGGCAACCCCAACCCGCTTAGGTTACTCAGTAGTGATGGGGTTCGAGCTGGCAAACTCCTTACTCTGAGGGGGTCCCTGCACCGGACACGAAACGAAAAACGAAACGTCGAGTGCATCTTCCTGCAGAAAATGGCCACGTTCATCGGTTCACTATAAATAGTAACGAGTGTATTTTGCCACCTTTCGTGGGCAGATGCACTCTTTTCGTTTTCGTTTCGTGTGCCGTGCGGGGACACCCTGAGAGTGGTTCGTGCCGTGCGGCGACACCCTGAGAGTGGTTCATGCGGCTGGCAGTAGCTACAATCGGATGTCTATTCAAATAAGCAACTAAGATGTTCATATACACTAATCTTCATTATCATTAGCATCATCATCATCAAAAAAAAAAAAAAAAAAAGCTGGACACTGGACCCGTTTTCCAGCAGGTGCTGCTCCCCACTGGCACCAAGAGATGGAGCCTCCCCGAGGGTGATAGTGGTGTCTGCTCCTATCAGCACCCCTAGCACTGGCTCGGGCAGTTCAAAAAAAAAAAAAAAAAAAAAAACCGATCCCGTATAGTTCCCAGCCAGCAAACGTCTTTACTCGGAGGGTGGTAGAAGGAGGTTGGCGTTCTACCGCGAAATCATATGGAGCACCTGGGGCCAAGTCCCACTAGCAGCGTTGAGCTACCTCAACGCCTGAATCTGGACGCTTTTGGGTAGATGTGCAGAAATGGTGTTGAGTTTCCTGAACTGCACATCGCCACAAACCCATCCAGATTCAGGCGTTGAGGTAGCTCAACGCTGCTAGTGGGACTTGGCCCCTGGAGTCTGCACCGACAAATTGCTGTGGTGTTGTTGCTGTGGTGTTGTGATGCTGTACGGGTATTTTGTAGTGAACTCAGGAATTGGAGACTTGTATAGCAGATAGGAAGTGGAGTGACGCCACGGTTTGTACAAGTTTTTCAGCTTTGACAGCTATACGGCCGCTTTACAAAATTCTGTATAGCGGACAGTAGTGCAGCGACACCCAATATGTTCCACTTGCAGTGACCCACATACAGTCGGCGCCGGAGTTTTTTTCCCTTTTCTAAGTCTTTTCCTCAAGACCAACCCCCCTGCGACCCCTTTTCATTTCGGACCTTTCAACAGCCTCGCCAGGAATGAAAACCCGTCCACTGCTGAAAAGCTACCGTCTTCACCCCAATACGAGCTACGGTCATTATTGTCGTATCTAGACTCGAAGTTGCCCCGAATACAGCTAGAATGACCGTAGTACGTTGTTTTTGACTGAAGATGGTAGCCAATTATCATCCCTGAAAGTAACATTTTCCCATGCTTTGCT